TTAACTTTACAAGACATACCAATGCATGATGAATGCAAGACCTATTTCCTCTCTGTGTGATGTTTTAACTAAATACAGTGGGATAGGAGAATTTCGGCAGCCTTGTTAATTTTCATAACTTTTCTTTATAAATCGTTGGTTGTTATGACAAAAAATGGCAATTAAATATATCATATAGGAGGCACACACAGTGATATTTGATAAGGGAAACAATGTTTATAGGATTAACAAAAAGTGCAATGATTGTTTAAACAAAATTAGGCAGGTGCATAAATTTGGGCACTGCTGTCATTTTAATGATTCCAAAACCTGTAGAACTAGTTATTGGAACTCAAAATTGGTTTGGTGGAAATAACAGCCTCTAAACTCTTCGTATAGCTTCCAATGAGAGTCTGAATTCTGGCCGAAGGTATTTTAGACCATTCTTCTTTACAAAACATCTCTAGTGTATTCAAGTTTGATGCCCCTGAGCATGGACAGCTCTCTTTATCTCACACCACAGATGTTCAATAATATTCAGGTCTGGTAACTGAGATGGTCATTCTAGAACATTCACTTGTTCCTCTGCATGAAGGCCTTAGTAGATGTTTAGCAGTGTTTATGGTCGTTGTCTTGTTGACAGATCCAGCCCCAGTGCAGCTTCAGCTTTGTCACTGATTCCTGGACTTTGGTCTCCAGAATCTACTGATATTGAGTGGAATCCATGAGTCCCTCAACAACAAGATTCCCAGTCCCTGCACTGGCCACACAACCCACAGCATGATGGAACCACCACCATGTTTTACTGTAGATAGGTGTTTTTCGTCCATGCATAACGCCCCTTGTTATTCACAAATGGCTCAGTTTTAGTGTTATCAGTCCACAGCACCTTATTCCAAAATGAAGCTGGCTTGTTCAAATGTGCTTTAGCAAACCTCAAACAGCTCTGTTTGTGCTGTGGGCGGAGAAAAGGGTTCCTCTGCATGACTCTCACATACAGCATCTCCTTGTGTGAAGTGCACCGAATAGTTGAACGATGCACATAGACTCCATCTGCAGCAGTATGATGTTGTAGGTCTTTGATGCTGGTCTGTGGGTAGACTCTGACTGTTCTAACCATTCTTCACTTTTGTTTATCCCAGATTTTTCTTCTTCTGCCACTTGGAGCCTTAACCTGAACTGTGCCTGTGGTCTTCCATTTCCTCAATACGTTCCTAACTGTGGAAGCAGACAGCTGAAATATCTGAGACAGCTTTATGTATCCTTCCCCTAAACCATGATGGTGAACAATCTGTTTTCAGGTCATGTGAGAGTTGTTCTGAGACCCCATGTTGCTACTCTTCAGAGAAAATTAGAAGAGGAGGGAAACACATTTGGCCCCCTAAATACTCATTCTCATAATTTGATTCCCCTGTGTATGGAGTCAAGGGTCACTGAGCTTATCAAACCTATTTTTAGTTCCAATAATTAGTTCTACAGGTTTTGGAATCAATAAAAGGACAAGAGTGCCCAAATGTATGCACCTGCCTAATTTTGCTTAAAAGATTATTGCACACTTTATATAATTCCTATAATCTTTATTTCCCTTCTCCATAATCACTGTGTGTGTCTCCTATATGATATATTTGATTGACATTTTTAAAAATCATAACAGGAAAATCATGAAGATTAACAAGGCTGCCCAAACTTTTACATCCCACTGTAATACCTGATGGATTTGAATTCTCCGCATATCAGGAATAAGACTCAAAGGGCAAGAAAAGCCTTCCTTATCAGAGTTTGAGGTTCCAGCCACAGATCTCTGGCTTCCCTAGTAAGGGTGTCCTAATTCCCTAACTTGAAGAAGTTATCTTCAGATGACAGCTGGGTCAATCTGAAGAAGAAACATCAGACCGCTTTAAAGCTGAGGGGAATTAGGGTCAATTGAAGATTATTATTCATTTTTCTTATAACCACTTCTGCCAAAAATACCTGTTAAACTATCAACACACACACACACACACACACACACACACACACACACACACACACACACACACACACACACACACACACACACACACACACACACACCTTCTCATCTAGCATTCATTGTGAGGACCGTCCTTGACTACCATTCATTTTAGAGACTGGATTGTGCCTAAGCCTAACCTAAAAGTGAGGACCCGCAGAAATGTCCTCACTTTGGTACTAATGTCCTCAGTTTGCAGGTAAAAAGCTAGTCATTGGTCCTCACTTTGATGTATAGACAAGTACACACACACACACACACACACACACACACACACACACACACACATTAATAGATTCTGCAGCTAAAGTTAACATTTAAAGTTTACTTACATATCAGTCCAAACTTTAACTGTTGACTCTTTGTGCTTGCCATAGAGTTGATAAAAAACTTATAATAAAATACTTAAATATATAATTGTTTTGTACACAAAATTATGTTTCAATAAAACTGTAATAAAGTGGTACAGGTTCTCTGAAAGTTTAGCTTTTACTCCTTAACTTTAATGAAATAGTGAATGTTTGCATTCAGGAGGTGGTGATGCTGTGCTGACCTCCAGTGGCCTTTATGCTAACTACAAAAACTAACCACACATTAGCTGGAGGCAGAACCTGTTTTCTTATTACAACTGACTAAATCCATGTGGCGCTCCATGCTGGTAGTCCCTGCACAGCTGACGGAGCCACCGGCCTGGACCCAGAGGGTAACAGGTGGAGCTGCTGCTGCCCTATAGGATGAAAACTGTCTTCAGATCGTCCTTCAGCAACACTTCACCTCTAATGTTGACACGAGGCAAACAGAAGGATGCAGTGGTGTGCGGTGCTCCACAAGGACTGTTCAAAATCAAACATTTACAACAATTTAGCAGTTTTTTTCCCCCTTTGGTCTTATCAGCTTTGTTTCCCACAGGCACACCCATCATAAAGAAACAGCAGCAATCTTCTGTCTTTTCTGATTGTGCTCCCTGGTGAGTCCTCAAACAAAGACAAATATTTAAATATTGTCTGAAACTGTGTTTTTGTGTTTAAAATGGGGGCCTGCTCTAATTCTAATATATTAATATGCAAATGTGTCTAGACATAAATGAGCAAATGAGCACGCAAATGTTGACTAAATAGTGTATTGTGTTGTGATTTCTTATCTTGAATACAGTAAAGCTGCTGAGGAGGTGCACGTGGTGAGGAAAACAGAGGAACGTTGTAAATGAAGAACCTTAGTCCAGACATTCCCGCGGTGCCGTCGGGATTTAGTTTGTATATTAGAGGGCAGCGTTGTGTTATGTCCGCTGTGTCAAGCTGGTATTCACTGGCACACACTTCAGAGTCCAGCCGGTGTTACTGCACCATAGCAACACAACACCATCATAAAGCTGTAAAGTTTATTCACCTTTTGGTGTTTGATTCTCTAGAATATTCCAGGACATAACTACAATTAAGTAAAAACACAATAGGTGTTTGCGGACAGGTGTTATTAAAGGCAAAAGCAGATTTAACAGACTCAGACTGAATGCGAGACAGATGTTGAAACCCAGGAGAGGCTGGCAGTCTGGAGACTGTCTCATACAGTGGAGCTCTTCAGTCCGTGCACACAGGCTCAGCTGTTCCATTCTGAAGCTCAGAGGCTGCTTTGGCTCCAAATATAAGGATTAAAAAACCTCAGCACAAGATCTTCTTGTCCTTTTTTTAACCCTGCAGTCAACTGCAAGATTTAGTAGATCTAAACCTTTCACCTGCATTGGCAACAACTTATTAGCCTGTGTTTGGAAGTGAGGTTTTGTGGAAAAGTTGTGATTAATTAAAAAGTAATCTGCTGTTCTGTTAATCTTAGTTTGAAGAGTTAATATGATTCTAATCTGCTGAAAAACAACTCTAATCTCAAAATATATAAAGAAGTTCACACAAAGATTATTTTGTAGACGTTTATGATTTGCCATTTTCTGTTGCTTGTGTATTCTGGCTGAAAGATTATTATATTTAGGTAGGAAGGGCTCCAGAGTGTCACTACAGCTAGCTGCAGCTATCTCCAAGCTTACAAACAATCTGAAGCATATAAAAAAATTGTAATTTGTAAAACTGATTTAAACGTTTATAAAATATTTTGCAAGAACTTATGAGAGATTTTATATGGGGTGCTGTTTGTAAAACACCAAATTAAAGCTATTTTTGCCACATTTAGATTTAAATAACGGTTTTTAAAATCATAATTTTACAATGAAGCTTGTTTGTGAATAGAAATTAGCATTTTGTTCAAAGTGTTTGTTGGTAGAACATAACATAACCTTTGGAACACATTACATTTGTTGAAATTAGACATCTGTGTGCAGCTACAAGCTTTACAGTTTCAGATAATTTCCTAACAAAAAAATATATAAAAGCAAACCCTTATTGAAATACAAGAGACCTGCAAATGTGTGACGATTCCTTGACAACAGTTTCCAACCCATCTCACACACACACACACACACACACACACACACACACACACACACACACACACACACACACACACACACACACACACACACACACACACACACACACACACACACACACACACACACACACACACACACACACACACACACACACACACACACACACACACACACACACACACACACACACACACACACACACACACACATAGCATCAGCAAAAGATCAAGCTTGTACAGTTTCACCAGCAGAGGGATTTTAGGCTTTTATTTTCGTAAGCAACTTCTGCTTATGTTCTAATTCACACATTTGCTAATTATATAATAATTATATATGTATTTTTTTACATTTACAATTATAATAAAAATTGTACATTAAATATTAAATAATGTTATAATTAATTATAGTTAATATTTAAAATTGGATTTTATACATTTAAATGTCCGTCTTTTACATTTAATTGAATTAAAATTAGTAAAAATACATTATATATATATATATCAATAAATAAATAATATTTGCATGTGTGCTGCTCATGTGGCAAAATATCTGTACAATTATTTCAACCAAGGTAAATGTGGGCAAATAAATTATTTAATGTGTCATTTTAAAAACAGTGCCTCATAGTTTTAAAGCAGAAGAAACATGTTTTGGTTCAGAATAGCCATTAGCTTGTTGGACTAGCCATTAGCTTGTTGGACTAGCCATTGGTTCAGTCAGGACTTATCCGAGGCCATTTAAGGAGACATCTACAGATAAACTAATCTTTCATAATCCGTCTTACACTTCAAATATTCCAAACTATTACTTCATGTAGACATGACTCTATTGGTGTCAGTAACTGTTGATTTGGTGGAGCAGAAAACAAAACACTGTGAAACAAAAAAAAAACAAAAAACAAAGAAGAAATATACAAAAAGCTCTAAACACACACAACAGCTGCAGCTTCACATGTAAGGTTGTATGATTCTATGGAGATTTCCTTAACATGGCGTACAGCTTCTTCTCATGCTCCCTTTCCTCTAATTTCCTCTTTCCAAGCCAGCCTGATTGACCGTTATCACCAGCTGCCAGCTGGCGTCTTTTTCCAACATAGCAACAATTTATTTAGTGCTGTGTAATCAGTACCACTCAGTGACATGCCATGTTTGTTACTCCACAACACATTGGGAGAAAAAAAAACTTCTTGCCAGCATGCAAAAAGCTCTACATTTAACTGATCAATTCAGGAGAGCATACTTTTTGTGAATGCCTGGAGTTTTGTGAATCTGAAGCTTCCATTAAAGGAGGAGAGACAGACGTTTCATGGTGAAAGCTTCTTCCTCTTGGGCGTCCCTTCTGTGTGTAGGTCGCTGCTGTCAGTGTGGGACTCAGGCCTGCGACTCCACCAACATGTTTACATCATTCCCAGACCTGTGAGTTCTCATGTGCTTGCAGTGAACTCACACTGAGTCTGTGTGTCTCGTACTGGTGTCCATCATACCGATCTTCTCTGTCCCGTTCCTGGGCTCCTCTCTCTGACGTCTCCTTCCCCAGCATAACCCTCTCCTACGACTGAAAGAAAAGCTGCACTGGAGCAAATGAATGCGAAACATGGGAGGACTTACAAAATGAATAGCAATACGCCAACCAGAGGTGAGATGCCCAAATATGAAACAGTAAGACCCCAAATCCTGCCGTCTGAAGCTCTCCTCTGATCTGGCAATCTTCTAGTTCCTGAATCAGGTGCATCAGGGCTTTTTGTACCCAGTGTACAACTTACAAGGCATTCATTCCTACTAGAGACCACTGCAAATGTATTGATTAAATGAGTGACCCACACCTTTATCTAAGTGTTTCTGATTCACCCCATGGCCTGCACATTTGCACTCATTACCTTTCCCTCTATAAACATCTAGTTATCCACTACAAGCTATTTTCCAGAAGCCATTAGTTGTCTAGACTTTAGTCTTTCTTCTGCTTTGTCCAGCACAAATCTCTAATATATCTTTAATGATAGATTCACACATCTAAAGTTCAGAATTTCAAACAATCCCTTTAAAACAGCTTTTATAAGTTGTTTTCTTACTGTGAATAGATGCACACAGAAACAATGAGAGCCATCAAGACAATGAGGCCTGCGACGACGCTGCCTATGATGATTCGTTGTCGCTCTCCTATTTGCCAGTCCAAACTTACGTATTCGCACCTTGCACCCATATATTGACTCTGACACCTGAAAAAAAAAAACATTCCAAGTTTCACGTTTTCACATGCAGGCTGTTTTCAAACTATTTCTTGTCTAGTCACTGAAAATCCACTCAAAGTAAAACATTTCCAACTCTGACTCACCTGCAGGATGGGGCGTTCTGCTCCTTAATGTAACGACACTCTCCATGGATGCAGTAATACATCAGCTCTTCAGGACATTTTGAGAAGTGTTCATTCCACGGGTCGGTTTCTGAATAAATAAAATAATATAAAAAAATGTGTTACAGAAGCAAATTCTTGCAACTTGTACCCTAAAATAATGCAAACCATTGTCAACTAAAGTATTACATTTGCGTGAATTGGATGCACTGCTGAGAAAATAAGGAGCTTTGTGTTCAGACAGATGATAATCAAGTTTTCTATGAATTGTCCAATGCGATAGGCAAAAGGTTGTAAAAATTCTTTGGAGTTCAGCTTTGTCTGTTTGGCTGGACTCATGCACTGAGAACCAGACGAACATTTAAGCAGATACAGCAGTTGCATACATTTTAAAAAGTATTGTTTCATGAAGATTTCTGATGAAGGACTGCACCCTGTTTTATTATTAAATTTACCTCTTCTTTGAAGGTGTGGTTCACTCATTTAATCAATACATTTGCAGTGGTCTGAGCTCAAGACAACAATCTGTGGATGGCCACGCCCACCTCACTCAGGAGTAGGAATGAATGCCTTGTAAAGCCCGATTTATACTTCTCCGTCTGCCTCAGTGCAGAGACCCACAACGTGTTGGCGCAAGGGGTCTCCGACAGGCTCACAGAGGGTGATGGAGACATGCCCAAATTTTTGAACATCCGTCCAAAGTGACACAAGCTTGTTATTTTTCAGGACGCCGCTTCCTGTAAATTCGTCATCAGCGCTGCTGTTGCCCCGTTAAAGATATTTAGCAACAGACTCAGAAGAGATGAAAGAATGCGTCGCGGAAAAAGTCAGAAAATATATGAACGTTTATTAACCCGTGACTAAAGGAGTACAAAATACAGAGCAAACATTAGGGAAAATGACAGGAAATGTGAGTTTAGAGGTAGCGACCGCATTAAGAGGTGGAGGAGAATGAAGGACAAATTTGTCCGTGTTATTAAGTCTATGAAATATTTAAACATATTAATAAATACACTATTGCGTACCGGATACATGAGTGTTTTGGTGGCAGGACACCACAGAAAAGCACTAGGCCCTCTGTTGTCCTGGCGGGGGAATTGCTTTGCAACGCTGCGCTGCCTGCACGGAAGTTCTCGTGAAAACCTTTCCAACCTTTGCGGAGCTCACGGAGAAGTATACATCAAGCTTAAGTCGTACTCTGGGTACAAAAGGTCCTGGTGCACCTTTTTCTAGAAGAATGCAGAGCTGAGCTTCAGACAACAGGATTTGGGGTCTTACTTCTTGATTTTTGGACATATCACCTCTGAATGGCAATGCAACTCTACCACTGACTCATGTTTTATCTCCACAAATAACACAGACTTGGAGGAGTTCTGACATGTGGTGGAATTGCTAAGGCTAACAGCTTCTACTAGCAAAGACATTTCATGCCGTCTCTTGGACGTTAAACCATCAACAGCATACCCCGTAAGGAGTCAAGATGGGTGTGACAGACACTGTCACTTTCTGGCCACTAGAAAGCCACCCTGGCCACCCTTACAGGGCTAGTCCGATGAAGAGAGAGTTAATGAGAAATGAGGTGACTTATCTGTTAGAACATGGCCTAGCAAAGCCCAGCACCAGTTCCTGGAGCTCACCATGTTTGTTGGAAAATAAACCTGATGGCTCATATAGTATATAGGTTTGTTACAGACTACCGGAAGTTAAATGCCAAAACTGTGCCAGATTAATTTCCTTTGCCTCGTGTGGAGGATTGTGTGGATAGTGTCGGTTCAGCTTCATTTGTTACCAAGCTGGATCTTCTTAAAGATTATTGGCAGGTGCCACTAACTCCGTTTGCTTCTAAAGTTTCTGCTTTCGTCACTCCGGATAACCTGCTCCAGTACACCATGTTGCCATTTGGTTTGAGGAACACTCCTGCCACATTCCAGCGTTTAGTAAACCAGGTTTTGTCTAATGTGCCTCATTGCAGCACGTATCTCGATGACATTGTCATCTACACTCCGTCCTGGGATCTTCACCTCCAGACCTTAGCCCAAGTGTTTGACCGACTGAAGATGGCTAATTTGACTTTAAATCTCGCTAAGTGTGAGTTCGTGAAAGCCACTGTCCGTTATTTAGGGAAAGAGGTAGGAAAAGGCCAAGTGAGGGCGCGCTCTGATAAAATCCAGGCAATCGTTTCATTTCCGCCACTGACCACCCGCAGAGAACTCTGCCGATTTTTGGGCATGACCGGTTATTACAGCTGCTTCTGCCGTAACTTTTCCACTGTTGCCAAACCACTCACAGACATGTTAAGCACCAACATCCCATTTTCTTGGACCTCCGAATGTAACCAGGCTTTCCTTGCTCTTCGTGACCTGCTCTGTTGTGCTCCAGTTCTTACAGCCCCTGACCTTTCCAGACCTTTTAAGTTCGAGGTCGATGCCTCTGATGCCGGAGCTGGAGCTGTGCTACTCCAAGAAGACGCTGGTGGACTTGATCACCCCATCTGCTACTTCTCAAGGAAGTTTAACCTGGCACAACAACATTATTCCACCATTGAGAAGGAGACCTTAGCTCTCATATGGTCCCTGCAACATGTTGGAAACAGTCAATTCACCACTATTGTGTTTACAGATCATAATCCGCTGACCTTTCTCCACCGCATGTACAACCACAACCAACGTTTGATGAGATGGGCCCTCCTACTACAAGAATTCGCCCTGGAGATCCGTCACAAGAAGGGGACTGAAAACATCATGGCAGACGCCCCTCCTGGATGACAGAACTTCTCACCCTATCTCTAAAGGTAGAGCCTAGACACCCTGTGGAAAAAACCTTCTTTGGCCGCTTGTATCCGTGATCTTGTTATTTCGGTCACCACCCAAAGCTTGTGACCATGGGTGAGGGTAGGAACGTAGATCTACCGATAAATCAAAAGCTTTGCCTTCCGGCTTGGCTCCCTCTTCACCATGTCAGACCGGTAAAACGCCCGCATCACTGCAGACCCAGCACCAATCCACCTATCAATCTTGCTCTACATTTTTCTCTCACTCATGAACAATTGACAACTTAAAGCATTTTTTAAAAAAACAATGCCGTCAATTTGCTGCAGTGCCGTAGCAGCATCAGGGAGCCTTAGGTCCTTTATTAGTGGTCAGACTGTGGCGATACTGTGGTGCAATTGTGTCCTTTTATAAAAGATTAGGTGATGGCAGCATAAAGGGGGTATGGGGGCGGTCCTTGCACTGCTGCGGTCTTCCGTTTATCTTGGACATAACTTGTTTTTATTGCGATTGAAGCCACGATCATTAATAAAGGGGTCTGTCCTCCACAGTCCCAGTGCAGTCTCTCATGATCTGAGCTCCAGCTCTTACAGAGAGAAGCTCCAGGAGTGCAAGTTTGCCGTTTTAGCTGCTTTTGTCCAAAAAGCAAAACTTAAGGCCCATGTTTACTTTCATTTTCAATCAATGTAGTTGCCGGCCGAAGCTCGGCAGTAACTCCCCACATCATCATAACACCTCCCTTTGTTGCGCCAAGGCGCAATCGCCCTTTATGGGACGACAATTACTGCAATATTACTACCAAGCGAATGTTGTAAAATTCGTGCAAAGCCATGCCGGGATGGCACGTTCATGAGACACACCATTGCGATAATATTACGCCAGTTTGCCGGCACGGTGCGTCTTGTAAAAAGGGATTTAAACTCCACTTGGAGCAGGACCCCATCCCCTACCCAGAGAAGGCATTCTACCCTTTTCCAATTCAAGACCATGGTCTCAGATTTAGAGGAGCCGATTCTCATCCCAGCTGCGAACCGCTCCAGCGAAAGCTGAAGATCACGTTCTGATGAAGCAAACAGGACCACATAATCTGCAAAAAGCAGAGACCTGATCCTTAGGCCACCAAAACAGTTCTCCTCACCTTGACTGCAACTAGAAATCCTGTCCATGAAAGTTATGGGGTGAGTCCATGAATGGTAATTGACAGTGTGCCTAGTTTTATGTTCAGTCTGCAGGAAAACCTAAGAGTGACCAATTATAATAAAAAAATATATATGTATATATATATAATTAAGAGTTTTTTCAGTGAACCACATCTTTAATAATGACTTCACAAAAGTTTGATTTTAGGACAAGATTCAGATGGAGAGCCACTTGACGGTGCAGGTGTTGCTCAAACAAGCTTCTACAGGTACATGTTTTATCAAAAATATTCACAAATCCACCTCTTAAGTAAAATAAAGGATCCAATTTTAGTCAACTGTTTCTATCTGTACCTATGTCACATTTTGTCATCTTGCTTCTGTGACGTACCCTCTGCCACTGCCATGACCCAATTTATAAATAGACAGTTTGCAATATGATCCAGAGAGGAAACCCAACCATGCAAATGCCTGGAGTTGTCAATATCTCATTAGCCATGTGTTTCAATTAGCTGAAACATGGCAGGTTGAGAGCCCCCTTCTCGCTGCCTCTGGCCTCCTTTATGTTTTATTTTAGCTTGCACACTATCACACCCTGAAACAGGTGATGAACTTCTGACGACACGTTTCATGTAGCCCTGCTCACAAAGCTGCTGCTATCTTTACAACCCGCTCCAGTAAAAGGATCTCACGGAGCGAGCGGGTAAAACAACACCGCCGCTATCCAGGTGACATCAGTGGGAGCGCTCCATTTGTTAGCTGAAACATGAGAGCTGGTTCACAGCTACGACCTCAGCGCTGAATGGAGAATGCTTCAGTTAAAGTAGAATGGGGCGGTTATAGAGATGTACGTGTATTTGTGGGTTTCTAGTGGGATCTCTGACTAGGGAAATAAACTAAACTAAAGCAGGTGTTCAGTTAGCTTAGCCAATTATCCCTGTAGGCTAGGAAAATGGCTGGATCACAAGTTTAGCATCTTGTAAAAGCATAAAATAAAACAGTTCAATGTGTTTCTTCACATTTAGCAGAATTAATGGCATAAACATTTTAAATTAAGGTATTTTTTCCACACTTCACAATTTAAATTGACAAAAAGAAGTTAAAGTATGTTGGTTTTAATTGTATTTCCACCAGTATGATGCATCTTAAAGACTTAGTATGCTAATATAGACCAACTCCTGAGGCTGTTCATGGACTGGGATGTTTTCTGACAGAATTTAAGTAAAATTTCCATCATACAGCTTTTATTGATTCTTTCACAAAAACACAAAGATGAGTTTCTAAGGCCAAAATGTTACACTTGACGAGCTAACAGGGTGCTGCCTGCAGAGCAGATGGCATGAGGTATCAAGGGAGAATGGGCATCGATTTCTTGCATGAGCCCAACTCAATGAAACCTTAAACAAATGTAATGCACCAACGGGAAGCATCATTTCACCTGTAACAAACAGTTCTTTGTTTGCTTTGAAAACCAAAAGACTTCATACACAACTGTACCTAAATCTACCGGTATTTGTTTTTTGTCAAACCACACCTCAAAACTAGAATATTAAAAGGGTCTCGCAGGAAAGACCTGCTGGATGATCAATCATCCCCCCCCCCCCCCCCCCATACACACACACCTGCAAGATTTCAAACCGAAACTTTCAATAAAATGGGAATTCCTGAGAAACAAATGAGTTTTAGCTGAGTTCCAGCACTTCTTTCTTAGTAAATAAATGTCCAGAGAGTCTCTTCTACCAGAGAAACAAGCCACACCTTCCTCTCGTTGAACTTTCGCCCATTTTACAATGAAAAGCATTTGGTCTGTGCCACAGTCTGCTGGTGGGATATGCTTATTGTACAGATAGGTGCAATGGCAAAGAAAATGACCAGAAACAAGCATCATCTGGACACTGCTAATTGGACAACTGCACAAAAAAGGAGACGGAACTAGACATAATCTAATTTCTCCCATGATGCTGTTTTTTTTTAGATATTTCTACAAAACAGAAATGATAACAGAATACATTTGTTTACAATAAATAAATAATGCATTTAATGACTGTATAGGCTAAAGAAATGTTTACGTTCTGTGCACCAATGTTAAAAATGTTGATATATAATTATATATATTATGGTGACAGTATAATTACTTATGCAGCTTCTTTCCAAAGACATCAACTTTCTTTTCCTCATTTCTATTAAAGGTATTTAAAATATGATGACAATTTATTTTTCCCAGTACAAACATGTTTTTGTGTGTTTCTGTCCTCTTGTCCATTGATCCACTGAGTCTAAAAAGAATCAACCATTCATGGCTTCACCAAGGCATACGCCCCCTTCTATTCCTACCTGTGCAATTGTCTCTGTCACCATGGAGATTACAGTTGGACACAGTCTGATTGGCAGACTTGTGAGTGGTATTCCATTCAGCCAGGCAGTATTTACACAAGGCCAGAGCTGCAGACACAAACACACACACACACCTGTAATGCATTCAACATGTCAACCATGGGACCACATTTCTCTCACTGGTTCTGCACCAGTAATCAGACAATGTTCTGCTTGTGTTTTGGCTCTTCCATCAATCATTAGTCAGTCAGTCTGCAGAAAAGCACCTTCAATCTTGGTTTGGCTAAATAAAATGAAAATATGATCAGTTTAGTTGCACTCCATGCAGAAAAGAAATTATGTATTGTAAGCATCTCACACATCTCTACAAGTATTCAAATAAAACATTTAAAATGAAAAGAAAGTTCAAGCTTCAAACTGGGTAAAACAGGGAATCTTACCTGCCAATATTCCTACATAGAGTCTGCACACTTTTACCATCTCCTCACTTGATGGAAAAGTTCATCCGATTCATGAAGTTTCACTCTCACTGACCAAGAGGAGTTCAGCTGGACCGAGTCCTTCTCAGAGGTCATCGACCTTAGAGAGAGGTGTGAACAAGCAGAAAGAGTTTCCCATCGGTGCGTCGTGTCGTGGCTCTTCATTGATGGCAACTAACTTCATGTCAGCTTGAAGTAAACGGGATTTTACACTAAATAGCTCACAGGCTGCAGCTCTCTGAACTCTGAGCTGAAATGCTTGTGAGAATGTGGGCGGTGCTGAAACCAAACTCTGCTCTCTGTGCTCCACCCACACCTTTAAAGGAGACAGATCTATTCAAGGTATTCAGGTTATTTCCTCCTTCTCACAGCAAAAGAGTGCTTTGTACACCTGGCGTCTGTTTTCTTAAGAATGAAGCAGCATTTAAACCTGTTTACAAGCCAAATGTGTCAGGCTCTATTTATCCTCTCAGCCTGATTGTCTTTTAGATTGCAGACTGTGACAGATGCAGGACACAGACTATTGTTGCATCTTCAGCCCTTTTGTTTGAGGGGCTTTTATAAATGTAAATGTTCTGTTCTACAGGATTTGAAAATGTTGATTAACTCAAACTTTTACCAAACTGAACCTAAAGAGCATGAGATATAGTGGGTGTAATGAATAAAACGTAGTTTGATACTCATTTTTCTAGAATTCTATCAGTTACTTTTAGTATTTTTTGTTCTCTCCCTGTCACAAAGTGGAGTTGGTTGCAAAAGGACCCAAATGCAGGTGAGCAGGAACGGGAGGCAAAAGAGCTATTCAATATGAATAATGGTAGGTGGGAAGACAAGACGAGGATCTGACAAAGACAAGCACCAACAGAGGGTAAAATTCATGAGGGTAATCAGGAATCAGGTGGCTAGGATAACAAGGGGCAGGTGTATCCAATAAACAAGGAGGAGAGACTGGGCAACACGTCAGAGGGAGAAGGAGCATATCCTGACAGACACCTCCTACCCCCCCTAGCTCCCGACACCCAAAACATGAACCAACAGGAAAAGGGGTGGGTCAGGAAAACCCAGGACAGTGGGGCTTCACAGGGGGTGGACGGTAACCCAGAGACGTCACAGCAGGGTTTGCAAGACAGGGCAACAAGCTGGAGCCTCTTGCTAGGCAGAACCGGCTAGAGCCAGGACAGGGGAGGCCAGCTCAACACTCCGAGGATGTCTGGATCTCAAAAACGGAGCCACTGGAGACAGCTGGAGCGGAGCGTGGACCACAGCGATCAGCAGAGGTTACTCAACAGGTACCTAAGAGACCAACAGGTGCTCATCGGAAAGTGTCAGATCACCCGGGAACAGCTAGGGTGCGTTGGAACCACCCCTCCTCAAAATCTCATTGGTCTTGCTACTACCATGGAAAACAAATGAGTTCCACCTGAAGGCTGGCAGGAGCTCCCCACTGGGTCCAATATGTCAGATCCTTCTGTCAGGAAGTGGGAGTCGTTACAATAGGACCCAAATGCAGGTGAGCAGAAACAGGAAGCTCACTGGCAGGCAAAATAACTGTGTAATATGAATAATGGTAGGATGATACAGCAGGAAGACAAAACAAGGATATGAAAGCCTGCTGCAGACTATTTTGTGTTATTTGGAACTGTACCACCAGATGGCACACTTGTGTTTCTGTCATGCACAATTTTAAAAGTTTGTCATTGAAACTAACAAAGCAAATGGTTTTAATTTCATCTTTGTATATTTGTTAAATTATGAAAATTATCCACTAATGTACTGCAGTTGGTTTATGAAAAATGAGCTGATCTGTTCAGACGTGGTGTTTTTAGTGATGCTGAGGCCGAAAGCCACCACATTATGAGCCTGGTTCTGGTTCTGCTGGAGGTTTTTCTTTTCACTGTTGCCCTCCTGTGTTTGAAAGAAGGGATTGCATGGGTGTGTGTGTGTGTGCGTGCGTGCGTGCGTGCGTGCGTGCCATAGGCGCGTGCGCAATCATACACTTTAATAGCAGAAGCATGTATATAAATTTTAATTCTATAAATGAATACCTGCAACATTATGTTCACCCTTTTAGTGTAATTGCCATCTCTGAAACTTGGTTCAATAAGTATAAGGGAGTGAATTTCCACAAAAATGATTCTAATCTTGAATATGTAAACAGGAAAAATATAACAGAAGGTGGGGTTGTGCTATGTATCCATAAAACAGCACAGTTTATAGTGAAAAAGCACGTCATTAGCTTAGGATGACATAATGGAATGTTTGATGGTAGAAATATTTAATGAAAAGAAAGAAAACATTATTGTAAGTTGTATATATAGGCCACCCGGTTCGAATACGGACATCTTTCAAGAAAGGATGGAGAATATTTTTTCTACAGTGAACAAAAAACCAACATGCATATGTGGTGACTTCAGTATTCATTTGTTGAACCCAACTAAACTTAAAACAACTGATGCTTTCATTAATGTATAGCATGTCATTTTATCCTGTAGAATAACACGTGGCACCAAAATTATTGATAATATCTTTACTAATGATATGGCAGATGATGTAATCAGTGGTCTCTTCATATCTGATATTACAGACCATTTGCCTATTTTTATCATTACTGGGTGTGTGAAGTAAAGAAAGACAAAGAACCTGACATGGTCACCTACAACAGAATAAAAACGGAGGAAACTATTAATGCTTTCAATAATAGCTTGTCATTACAGGATTGGAGTTCGAGTTATAGAGACGTGGAGAAAGCATATAACTCCTTTTTAGAAATTTTTGACTCCTTATATAATAAACAGTGTCTTGCTCCAAGAAAAATAAATCTAGATCTCCTTGGCTTACAAAAGGAATATTAAATGCTTGTAAAAAGATAAATTATCTTTATAAAAAATGTATCAATTCCAACACTAAAGAAGCAGAACAACGATATACAAAAATAAATTAACTAATATAATAAGAGACAGTAAAAAACTGTACTATAGGAATATATTATATGATAACAAAAATAATCTAAAAGGAACATGGGACATGTTGAATGGTTTAATTAAATACAAAACCACAAAGACAGGATATCCAAACCATTTTCGAGATGCACATGGAAACAAATGTAATATGAAATTAGCAATAGATAGCTTCAATTAATTTTTTGTTAATACTAGACCAAATTTAGCAAGTGAAATTCGAGACATCCCAATTGGACAATTCAATGAAAAGATTAAAGTAAACACACTCAATTTTTCTTGCAGCTATAACCAAACAAGAACTTATAAATATTGTTTATAAATGCAAAAGCATACTATCTACTGACCGTCATGACATTGATAAGTTCCTGGTGAAAAAAGTTATAAATCGTATCTCCAAAACACTCACCTACATTTGTAACTTATCATTTCAAACTGGTAAAGTTCCAAACAAAATAAAAATTGGTAAAGTCATACCATTCTACAAAAATAATGATAAACACATGTTTACCAACTACAGACCGATCTCATTGTTGCCTCAGTTTTCAAAAATCTTGAAAAAACTCTTTAATACACAACTAGAAATTTTCATTGATGAACATCACACAGTTAATGATGGAAAATATGGCTTCAGAAATAAAAGAAGAACTTCTATGGCTATAATGGATGCTATAGAAGAAATCACCAGTGCACTTGACAACATAAAATATGCAATTAGAATTTTTATTGACTTCAAAAAAGCTTTTGATACAACAAATCACTCAATTCTGCTTGACAAATTGGATAGATATGGAGTTAGAGGAGTGGCATTGGACTGGGTAAGAAGTTATTTAAGTGGAAGGGTACAGTATTAGTATTGGACAGAAAAAGTCAAATAAATCTTGACATTGTTTGTGGTGTACCCCAGGGATCAGTACTGGGACCTAGTTTGTTCAATTTGTACATTAATGATATTTTTAAAACATCTACATTACTAAAATTTATTTTATTTGCAGATACAAATATATTTTATAGCAGTGAAAATGATCCAAATCTTATTAAAAAATAAACGAAGAATTGATTGTTGTTAAAAGATGGATGGACAGCAATAAGTTGTCACTAAATTTAAACCAGACTAAAGCAATAAAATTTGGTAATCAAGAAACTAAGTTTGAGTTGCCAATAAATAAAGATGGGTTTCAAATTGAAATGGTACAAGAAAGCATATTTTTGTGAATCACAATAGACAGTAAACTGTCATGGAAACCTCACATCAGACACACAAAACAAAAAATTTCAAAAAGTCTATCGATAATAAACGAAGCCAAGTCATTTCTTGATTGCAACACACTTCGTGTATTGTATTGCTCCTTACTTCTCCCTTATTATGGCGCTGAGGTATGGGGGAATAATTATCAATGCTCCTTACATCCCCTTTATATATTACTAGAAAAGAGCGGTCTGTATCATAAATAAAGATGGATTATTAGAACATACAAATCAACTTTTTTTACAATCAAAATTATTAAAATTACAGGATATAATTTCGTAGCAAACTGTTTAAATTCTTTTCAAAGCATTTAATAAACTTCTACCAAATAATTTACAAAAGCTATTTATAATTAAAGAGCTGTCACATAGCCTAAGGAAAGATAAAATATTTAAATGACCACTGGTGTGAACAACACGTAAAAGCTTTTGTGTGTCTGTCTGTGGGATAAAAATATGGAATAACTTAAAGACTGATCACAAACAATGTCATAATATTCAGATTTTTAAAGCACACTACAGAAGAACAGTTTGGTTAAAATACATTACAAATAAGAATGGGCGATGATGTGAGTAAAGGTGTATGGGAATATATAATTAATGATATTGACAAGAATTGTTAAATTGTCTAGACTACCATTATTATTATTATTATTGTTGTAATGATTATGATTTTTTTTCTTTGGTCATAAAATTGTTGAATTTGAGTTAATGCTACATATTGAATGTTTAAGTGTTAGTGAAAAATAGGGGTGGGCTTGAATAAGCTTGACTTCCGCCCACTCCCTTTCGAACATGCCTACAACAATGTCAACTTGATTTATTATTGATTTATCTTGTGAGGTTTATTATTGATTTATCTTGTGAGGTTTATTATTGATTTAAATCGTGTTGTTAATTGTGATGTTATTGGCATGTTGGAAATAAATAAATGATGTGTGTGTGTGTGTGTGTGTGTGTGTGTGTGTGTGTGTGTGTGTGTGTGTGTGTGTGTGTGTGTGTGTGTGTGTGTGTGTGTGTGTGTGTGTGTGTGTGTGTGTGTGTGTGTGTGTGTGTGTGTGTGTGTGTGTGTGTGTGTGTGTGTGTGTGTGTGTGTGTGTGTGTGTGTGTGTACAGCACCTTGGGGGTTTCTATGAGTCTAAAAGGCGCTATATAAAATACAGTCCATTTACTGGTGTTTATCTACTGTTTTTCATTAATGTTAGATATAATTTACATCTGAATGAGTGCTCATGTGATTTATCACACATCCTGTGGAAGTGATCCATCCCAATTTTTTTATTATTGTGTAGGCGTTTTTGTCCTGCAGCTAAACGGTAAACAAAAACAGTGTAGAAGGAACATGTCTCAAAGGTATTAAACCTGCTCCAATTGTGACTTTAATTTAACTTAGGAGTGCTACAATGAAAGCCATAAGGTGGCTATGGATAAAGATGGCTGATCTGTGAGCGATTGCTGCTGGGACTCAAGCTTCAACCTCAGCCGAGTTGCCTGATACTGAAAGACATAAAACTCCCTGCCATGGATTTTATCAGTATGTTTACCAATAAACCCATTTCCTGTAGCTAGAAAGAGACAACAAGAATCAATAAGGTAGACATACAACCAAATCATGATTTAGTGGCAAGTGTGCAGGGCAAATGCCCTGAACAGCTGGTCACAGAGTTTATTTAAGCAGAGATAAGAGGTGTGTGTGTGTGTGTGTGTGTGTGTGTGTGTGTGTGTGTGTGTGTGTGTGTGTGTGTGTGTGTGTGTGTGTGTGTGTGTGTGTGTGTGTGTGTGTGTGTGTGTGTGTGTGTGTGTGTGTGTGTGTGTGTGTGTGTGTGTGTGTGTGTGTGTGTGTGTGTGTGTGTGTGTGTGTGTGTGTGTGTGTTCAGGATATTCAGTTACAGTAATAGATCTGTTAATAGGACTAAAGTAATGAAATATAAAATTTCCATAACACTCCCATGTTACATCTTTAATGTTGCGTTCCAGAGCATCCAAACAGATGCAAAATTCAACACATAACAAATTTGAATTATATTTAAAAATGAGCTATATAAGTTATTAGTATTCGGTTAGGCCAAGCAGAAACAAATTGGCTTTTTAAAGTGGCATTGTGTAGTTTCCTGGCCCTAGGGGGCAGTACATACATTTCAGGGTATTTTTTTCACCATACCGCCAAGATTGTTGCTTGTTTAAACAAACATTACGATAAATGTTGTTACCTATGGAACAGAAAGCATGCGGCCTTGGCGTGACTCCTCAGACTTTGATGGTCCTTAAGTTAATTCCATCGAGAGAATGAAATGCCAATGCTAGTTTTCTGGCGACATAGGTACCAGATCTGCTCGGGGTTCTGTACCTGCCGACAACGTCATCATACTACAGCAATACCGCTCGGCCAAAATATATTGCATCTCTTTTTCGATTCTGTTCCTTTTTATCGGTTTTGAAGAGTATCAGATTTGTTATAAAATTCCTGTTTCTTACTACTTAAATATTTTCAAACGTGGTAACGCAACTTCCATAAGCCATTCGTCCAGCCAATCATCAAGTGTTACGTCATCGAGAGGTGCAGGACCCTGTGCCGGCTAGCAGGAAACATGGCATCCCCCAAAGACGCTAGGCCCGCGACTTATACTTTAGACCCGATTTTATGGTTATCTGTTACAAAGCTGCCAATATTTTTCAAAAACTGGACATCATTTGATTCATTTTCAACAACATTTCGATTAATATTTCCAGAGAGTAGTAAAGGTAGAAATACACCATGTCACTTTAATGAGGGAATAACATATCTTACTATCACTTTAATCAAACAATGAACCAAATTAGTTTTTTACTTCTTCACAAATTCTATAATTTACTTTGCCAACGTCATAAATGTCTGCTTAAAAAGAACAAGAATTTTTTTTCCTCTAAATGAAAAGTTCTTTATAGGAAAGAGACTCAACCCTAAAACTGCAAAACGAGGAAAAGGAAGTGATAAAAAGGAGTTGCAAAAGCCTTGTGACAGACTAGACATTATTTAGGCTGAACTTGAATGTTTCTGTTATAAGAGTCATTTCTGATGTAAAAGATTAATTTTACACCGTTCTGAAAACAGATGAGAAAAAGTGACTTTTCCACGACGAAACAGATTTAAACACAAACAAAAAGTTTATTCACAAAATCATCTCCATGTCAGAGCCATATCTTGTTTCTAAATTAGCGTTACTAGAGATTTAAGTTCATAAATAGCAAGTCTGAGAAGCTGTCAAACTGAAAAGTGTCTTGCAGTTTGAAACAGGAAGACTCGGTTTCCTCTCGCTGGCCGCGTCCCTAACTTAGACTGAACATCAGGAAGTTCCAGCGCCATGAGATTACAAAGCGTCATTTAGAAAACACGCTAAAACATCTGTTTTGAGCAGTCTGCAGATAACTTATCATCTGTACCACACACAGATCACACACTACCACAGAAAGAAAGACTTCGAAACTGGCATTTAGATTGTTTGCATAATAAAATTAAACAGAAAAGTTGTTTTCCTCTGAAAGAAATGAAAATTATCAAAGCTTCATTCTCTGCAAAAAGTTGCAAAGGTTTTTATTCCATATTTGAAGTTAAGTTGTTGTCTCAGACACATAAATGCAGAGACTCTGATCTTCAAACCACAGCGCAGGACCGAGGCTCTCTGAAGGGGTTACTGCCTGTGGGGACTCCAACCAGCAGGGCGTCTTTTCCTGCATTCTGCAAACAATACTGCTGGAGGTCTGCAGCTGCCTGGGACACCTAAAAACCCAGCCAAGAGGATTCATCAGGAGGCGATGCTTTAGAAATATTAATGTTTCTCATTTACTCGGACGACTGTACAGATTGTGTGAAAAAACACGATTTTACTTGTGTTTTGCTTCATTCAAGATTTTTGCAAGAAATTATGAGTCTCTTTTACCAAAGTAAAAGTCAGTTTAGAAATAAAGAGATGAGATGCAGTATCTAGGTAAGGAACAGAGAGGAATACATTCATAATGTGTTACAAATGTTATTGAATACTCAAAAGTACATTTAGCTAATATCTCAAATCTAGACTAGTAACTATAAATTGCAGTAATTAAAAATTGAAGCAGAACAAGTTCACATTTAGGTGGCTCAAATAAAGACTTGGATCCCAAAAATTTATGTAAATTTAGAGACTTGAAGCAACGAAACATAACGGGAGGAGCAGAAAGTGACTCTGTAAACATATTTAAACATTAAAAGGTAATTAACTAAAAACATAACCTTACCTTGATCCTTTCCACACTGGCCTCAAGTTTCAGTTGTTCTACTAACCGCTTCATGTTGGATAAATTGGAGTTGGAGGTCATGTTGGTTGGTAAGATGGGACACAAGCAGTGGACTCCACTAATGGGCAGTAAATGCTGGACAAGGAAAGAGCCTGAGTTTCTTTTTTAAGTGACCTCAGTCAGCACTCTGCTGGATAAGAAGGAAACACACTGACCTCTATGTGCACTTCAGACACTGCATAGGATATGCAACAAAACCACCAGTTAGTGTTGGTTTTATGGAAACTCCAGTCATCAAATATCAAAATCATGGTCATAAAAATATTTACCATCTCAACTTTAGGTTTGATGTCAATGGTACTTCGTGTTATTACCTGAACATATACAAATACAGAAGTTGTGCCTGTGAGAACAACTTTTATTACCTGATTCAGTCAGTTGTGCCACCTTCAACAAGCATTTTCCATGTGTCCGCTTCTCACATTTGGTGGCTCCTTCTTTGTGGCTTTTCTACTGTTCGCTGAGGCTTGTGTGGTAATTCATTTTTGCACAGCAAGCCTGCAAGTCTGGCCACAGGATTTCAAAGTTAAATTTAAAGTCCCCTACTGGTGAAATTACTTCTCCGCATAAATTTTGATTGCGTTGCTGGCATGAAATGAAATGTCTTAAAACGCTGATTTACATATTTTGTTTTACATGTAAGACCCCCCCCCCCCCCCCCCCCCCCCCCAGTTTACGAAGCTTTTCGTGTCCAGGAAAGGCACACTGCGCATGCGTCAGCCGGGGCCGCAGGGGTGCGCGTACGTCACGCTCTTCTCGCCGTCTCATTGGTCAGCCGCTGATTAAGGGCTGTAAGTAGCTTTTAGCGGAAGGTAAACAGCAACCTCCAGACGCAGGTGAAAGAAACGTAGCGGCTATGAGCTGAGTCGATACTCCGAGTGGTCAGACCTCCGTGGCGTTTTGTGTTGAGACACCTGAGAGTTTGGCAGATATGGTGGAGGTATTTTCCGGCCGGACACTTTTGAATAAAGACGGGGACTTCGTGGACCCCGAGGAGGCGCTGAGGAACAAAGTGGTAGGGATTTACTTCTCAGCGGGATGGTGTCCGCCCTGTCGAGACTTCACTCCCGTCCTGTGTGATTTCTACACCGAGCTGGTGGAGGAGAGCGACCCTCCTGCGCAGTTTGAGATAGTTTTTGTCTCCTCTGACAAGAATACTGACGACATGGTGGAATATTACCACGATATGCACGGAGACTGGCTCGCTTTGCCCTGGACGGATGAGTACAAGCAGTAAGTTTCAGCTCAGGCTCTTAATCGTAGGAAAATAAATGAGTGCATCTGCACTTTGTTAGGTTAATGTACATTAGTCTGCACTTGTAATTAGGCTGTTTATGTAATACATTATAGGCTCTCTCCCTGTCAGGGATTAGATGAATGCAGAACAGACACTGTAGTTCATGCTGTATTTTTCTGTTTCAAAAGGTCTTTACATGACTTGTGAACGGATTTCAGGTCTTTCTTTTCTTCTTGTCATGTACTAAATGTAAATAGGTTATTATATTAATACATTAAAAACTAACAAAATGCATCACAAATGGTCAACAGGGCGAGATGTTATTTCAGATGCACAAATATTCACACAAATACTTGTGTTGGGTTTTTTTTTGTAAGCATAATTGTCTGCAGAATGTCATTCTCATAGTTTTCTGTATCCTCACTTTCTAGCGAGCTGAAGCAGCGTTACAAGATCACAGCAGTCCCTAAACTTGTGATTGTGAAGGAGAATGGCGACGTGATCACCGACAAGGGCAGGAAACAGATCCGAGACTGGGGCCTGGCTTGCTTCAGGTCCTGGCTGGACGCCGCAGAGATCTTTCAGAACTTTAAGGGTTAGAAGAACCGTGAACCGAAATCAGTGGGCTGAACAACACCTGCAGAAAAGTACAGAAATATTTCAGTCTGACATAAATGAAAAAAGAACAGATTTAATTCTTTACACAATCTTGTCATCTTGTTAAGGAGTGGGTACTTTCAGCCTTAAAGCAGAAACGCATGACCTGATGCCAGCCTTGCAAGCATAAGCTGCTTTAGTTCCAAACATCCTATGCATATGATATACATCTCAGACTTCTCCATTAGGGAAATTGTCTGTTTAGTGTAATTACCAGCTGCTGCAGTTCTCAGGTTATTTGACAAAATGTAGATTTATTGTCCTTTAAAAGCTTTGCCACCAGATTAACTTTCAGCTCTCCCTGAGATTGATTCAAATAGCTTTTGTAGTTTTATTACCTCTTTCAGCAAAAAGACGTAGTTCTGTTTTGAACTGCCTGTATATTTTTATAATTTATTTGTAATGGAATAATAATAATAAAATTCATATATTGTGATTCAGGGTGTGTTTATGTTGTGTTTATGTATCAATCAACTCATGTTAAAAACAAGCACGTTCCCATCGGCCTCATTAAACACCGTCGGTTCCCATTGGGGATTTCTTTCCATCGTGCTAGCACATATACATCCATGAAACCTAATTGGCCGTTTCCACTTGAATGGATGCTGACTCTGCTGCTGTCAATTTGGGCAAAGAACATCTGAGTGGTGGTTTAATGATAGTTGGAACAAACTGATGTCTGCAGAAAGGCTTCAAAGCATTCACAGCTGCTAATGTTCCACTGCAGCAATCAGGAGGTAACCACTGCTTTCTCCTCGTGCCAGATGGAGGGATTTTATTCCCTCCGTTTAACTAGAGTGGATCTCAGAGGGCAGAACCTTCTTTTCAGGTACACTGATGTAACTAAGTGAGTTGGAACTCCAAACTACAAGAGGAAGGATGGGAAGAGAGCTAACAAATCCGTGGCCAACTGCTGCACTTCAAAGTGAATGTTATTAGGACCTCCAGTAGAACCTGACTGATATAGTGCACATCATTATTTCTCTGAATTAAAATTTAGGAGCTGCAGTTTTTCTACTTGCCAGGAGATGTCACTATCTTACCAAGAAAATGACGTATAACTCATCTGTGCTTTCAAACCAAAGGCAATCATTACATGACTGTTCAGACTGTGACAATAAAGTGTAATCCAGAGCTTTGGAATAATTTATGTCCAATCAAAATGTTTTATTCCCCTTTTTTGATGTGCAAACTGTCATTTCACTTTTATCTGTGATACGTGGACTTTTCAGGAAATCGGGAGACTTCTTGCATCTATCAGTTAAATATTTAATGAGAAATCATTTCAGTATTCATAGATTCTGGGTTTTTTCAATAAGGGAGATGGAGAACTATGGGAACATTGATTCCAAAGAGGAGCAATGTTTTCTGTGCATGCAATGTATTATTGATGCATTGTAGTCCCATGAAGGAATGAGGGCATAAAATGGCAAGAGACAGATAAAATCTCATGAATTTATTAAATTACTACTGCCCAGTCAGCAGTGGAGGTGAGAGGACAAAGAAATGCGTGTTTCAGAGCTGGCTCTGGGGAAAGCACTGATTTGGTACATGCTGGCTCAAGAAAATAAATTAAAACGATGAACATTTTGCATAGTATCCCTTTAAATTTATGATCAAGTGGATTTTTTTTAATGCTCTTCTTTCAAATTCCGATAAAACCTCAACTCATTATTTGGCTGACAACATGTTTTTGAACTTAGATAGCTAGTCACCCCTTACCAGACTAACTCCGCTCCTACTTCCTGTTTGAAAATGCACCACATGGAGGTGTTGCCTAACAGACCTCCAGGCTCACAGTGACATTGTGACATTATATGGTACCAACATCATAGGTACCTCTTAGCCAGTAGTGATGGCAGATTTAAATTCAAATGTAGTGCAGAGTTTTTACCTGAAGAGGGAGCAGCACTGACAGTTTTAGGCAGAATATTTACATATTAACTAAGGTGCGCTAAAGCGCCAAATTATTGACTACACGTGTCTACAGCATGATTAGACACTCAGTTATAGTTTATCAGTAAAAAAAAAAGTAGATTTGGTGGTGATTTGCTCTTTAAAAGAAGACTTAGCAGTTTTGGCTTGCTTTTAGCACTCCCTAGTGAACCCAAAACGTTTCTCCTCGCTGTGCGTTTGTGTTTTTAACACCTAACAGCTGAAATGTCTCCTCAGCCTTCATTAGTATCTACAGAAGTGATTCATCACTAAATTAAACAAATCAGCTTAAATCATGCAGGAAACATGCTGGAACCAGGCTGTAACTCCAGGTATGCCAACTCAATGTTTTCAGACCGGTCCAGAAACTGAAGTTGCAAGTGGAATATTCTGGCCACAGAGGGCGGTGGAGGTCTTGAGTGATATTTCATTAACCCTCTAAATGTTCATTTTATCACATACTGGCTCAAGAAAGTAATTTCACAAAAGGAAAACGTTGCAAGGTATCCCTGTAAATACCACAAACAGAATGTAAAACTGTCCTTTGCATTGTGTTGCTGCTTAATTTGGGATGTGATATTAACTTAAAGTAGCCTACTCTGTGATTAGGCTTGAAAACAAAGAGCAGCATCATGTCAGGAGACGATTTTACATTGTGGTGTGAATATTAAAGGGACTTTCCCCTGACACTTATGTGTGACAGTGATAAAGTAACAGCAATCTTACTTTTTCCATTCAGCCTGGCTGAGATTCTGTTCAGCAAATAAACCCTCAGGTAGCTTCAGATTCAAATGTCGACTGTCGACTTCACATTTAGACGTCTTGTTGGCTTTCACAAATGAAAGGCAGTAGTGTTTCCTGCTGCTGTAACGGAGTCTAACAAGGGTGTCTTTATGTGAGACCAAGAAGGGAAAGAGGCGGAGAGCTAAGTGGACTGTCACCCGACGAAAAGAGCGCCTATGCACCAAGCTCAACAGACTGCCACAGTCAACTTCCGTTTAGGATCTTCAAAATAAAACCCAGCCGTGTTGCAACACTAAATAATTTTAATATGTGATCAAATTAAGTGTGTTGGCCTTTTTCAGATTTGTACATGAACTGCCCTTTTAAGAATTTGAGCTATAATTATTCTAAGCTGATTTTCATTGCCAAAATAGAAACCACTGCACAACACTCCTTGTCAGGAAATAAAAATCTGGCCTTCTTCTATTTAAATGTCTTAATGATAGCAAATGTTTCTGTTGCATATGTATTTTTGCATCGAATCTTTTATTTATTTATTTAACCAGAAAGGTCTCATTAAGATTAATGACCTCATTTTCAAGGGAGTCTTGGCCAAGAGGCAGCAAAAGATACTGTCACATTTCTCAGTTACACAGATAGTTATATACAGAATTATAAAAGGCAGTTACAACACAGGCAATCCATCTCAAGTGATCTTAATCTGGTTTTATGTATTCAAGGTTTTTGGTCTGGTATGTGTTTTTGTGTTTATGAGTCCTTAGTTTACATATTTTTTCCCATATTGTGAAAAATTTTGTATTATTTTTCATTTTAAAATAGTTTTACAGCATGTTAGTTTTTATATGTTCTGCTCTTGCTGCTAACTTTTGGCCAGGTTCTAGGAAGATAGATAGATAGATAGATAGATAGATAGATAGATAGATAGATAGATAGATAGATAGATAGATAGATAGATAGATAGATAGATAGATAGATAGATAGATAGATAGATAGATAGATAGATAGATAGATAGATAGATAGATAGATAGATAGATAGATAGATAGATAGATAGATAGATAGATCAATCAAGAGCTGTTTGCTTTAATTTTCTGGGGTCTCATTTATCAAACATTGCGTAGAATCCTTACTAAAACCGTACTTAAGCTCAGCAAAAAAAAAAAATGTACTTACGCCAAGTAGGTTTGTGATCTATCTAACATGGAGTACACACAGCTGCACGCAATCTCTGCTTCATAAATCGGAGACTAAAGAGAATGTTTCTCAGCTGCATTTTAGTCACATCCCGCCCTCACCACACCCACTTACTGCCATAAATAGTCACTGCAAAGTGCCTTGTGGATCTCATGCATATACATAAGCCGGCTGTTGCAGCACTCCGCCAATGACATGGCGACCGTAGATCAAGGCAGATCAAGGATGCACAATTTTACAGAAGCAGAAATTGAGGTACTTGTGGGTGAGGTGGAGAAATGAAAGAAAGTGCTTTTGCAAAATAAATAAGAGAAAATCCACGGAGTGGCACAGCGTTGCTGAAGCCGTCAATGTTGTGAATTCTTCAGAGAGATCTGTGGCAGATATAAAAAAAAATGGTCCAATCAGGATTTGATTCCCAGACTCCCGGGTGAAAGTCACGCACGCTAACCAGTCAGCCAAACGGAGATCTCCCCTGTACAATAGCCAGGGTGCATCATCAATTGAGTCACAGTGACAGGACACACACACTGTCACAGAAGCATGACATTCTGTCTCAATCTGTCCCCCTGCTGATATTCTGCATTCCATATTCTGCGCTTCAGGCTGTGTGTGTGTGTGTGTGTGTGTGTGTGTGTGTGTGTGTGTGTGTGTGTGTGTGTGTGTGTGTGTGTGTGTGAGTGTGCACGCAGTGCATGTGGGGGGTCTTGTTCTGTGTGAAAACAAAGCAGTACTAGTGATAATGCTGCAGGATTTCATAATTTTATCCTTCTCAGCAGCAGCACTGCAGGTGCTCTCCATGTCTCCATAAGCAAGCTTGATAAATGAGGCCCCTAGAAGCTGTCATTTGTGTGGAAATTGACTTGCCCTAAAAATATGTGGATAACTTTAATTTTATTACATCGGTGTGTGTTTGTGTATCTGCTTTCTGGGAAAATCAATCTGATTTTTTTAATTGAGACCTTCACAACCTCAATGGAAGCCCAAAGTGCTGAGCACTAAAATACAGACAGAGATCCTGAGAATTGAATGGAGGATAAAAACAGCATAAGAACAATGAAAAGATACACAAAAGCATGAGCAATGCAAAATAAAAACCAGTGAAACAATAGGTCGGTGTCAGTGTTGGTGGGAAAGACAACAAGTAAAAATGGGGTTTTCAAGCAGACTTAGATGGAGCCTCTTTACTGGCAGAGGGAGCTTGTTCCAAAGGGTTGGTGCCATTACTGATATACATTTCTGGTTATTTTCCACGGTACACAATCCAAGGAATTCATCTTCAATTCAATTCAATTCAATTAAAAAATACTTTATTAATCCCAGAGGGAAATTGATTAATTGCTTGATCTTAATAAGATATGATCTTGTTTCCATCTACAAAATGAAAAGGAATATGAACTCAAGTTGAATGTTATTGTTGTGGGTTAATTTTACATTAACAAATCTAAAGTGCTAACTTCCATTTCAGACCTTCTGCAATGAACTAAAAACGCTTCTTCTCACTCAATTTCATGGAGAGAAGCAGCCACTGCTTTAAAGGACCGTTTGTAAACTTTTTACCCTCTAGCTTAATTTGAGTTTTTATATATTTGTGTTATAATTTTTTATTTAATCTTCTTATGTATGATATACATCTGTTATTTGTTATTACTGAAAATCTCGTCATCGTTGATCAGTAATTTCATTAAAAAATACTTTCAAAGTGTCTTATTTTGAAGGGACCAGACCCGTGTTCCGGTGTCGCTACGCTTCTGTACCCAGCAGACGCTCGCGCGTGCTTCTGGACCAGTCTGGTAACTGAGCGCCGGAGAGCCGCAGGACGACTCAGGAGCAGCGCAACGAAACAAAACCAGCTCACAGGATGGACGGAACGAGCGGGAGCTGGAACTAAAGGTGAGCCAGGTGGTAAGGCATGCTAGTGCTTTTAATATTAATTAAAATTAATTAATTACTGTGATGTAAAGTAGGATATTTTAATGTTGTGCTTTAATTAACAGCAGTGTGTGATTTTAGATGTTATCATCACTATAATTACACATATATTTCAATTTAGATGTCTTGAACCAATTTAGTGTTCTTTGAAAAAAGAACTCATGAAAAAAACTTGAAATAGTTTGCTTTTATTTATTTATTTATTTATTCCAAAAGCAAGAAAAACCTGGTTAAAAATGTCACTTGATTAAAAAATGGTGTATTTTTTCATTATGCTGGAACTGAAATAATGCCCTCAAACATTTCTGCAGAGCACAGCAGACAAAATCAACTGCACTCAGTGTGATTGGGTGGCGCTTTCAGTGTTGTTCCTTTTGCATTTCACTCACCACCACATTTTACATGCAGCCATGCTGTGCGAACTGCAGGTTTTATTAGGGAAATGCCCTAATCCTGCTTAGTGCTGTCACTAACAAGCACCTAGTGCCCTGAAATATTTGCTTTGCAATCTGTCAGAGTAGGTTTTCTCATTCTAGAAGAACGGAACTGAAGATTATGTGGTATTTGGGTGTGTTTACTAAGCAGAGAACAGAAGAACTGTTTACTGATTTGTAAGAGGAAATTGCTGTATGTATGTTGAAGTAGATGTAATGTTTCATGACATAAGTCAACTCTGAGGATGTTTGCAGCCGCTAACAAAACCGTCAGCAAGGTAAAGAAAAACCTTCTCTGTGTTTAAAAAAGAACCAAAAATGGAATTAGGAGACAAACACAGCAAGAACGTACAAAATATAAGTGCTTCCTGTCATTTAAGTTTAAGATGTGTAAAAGAACTAAATATGTGTTTGGCTGTGGCCCTGAGAATGTGTGTGTTCTCAGTTTCTCTTATGCAGAATGCATGTGGTATCATGTTCCACAGATCACATCACAAAGTCACACTTGATCAGGGACAGTTTAAAGACAATGATGTGATTTTCTTTATAAAAAAAATACTATAACACCTCTGGTGAAATTAAAATGACTGTTGATAGTTTTGATAAAGCCTTTTTGAAAAATGTATTGAATTAAAACAGGATCTTATCAGCTGCACTGAGTGATAGCTTCCTCCAGGCTCTGTTGCCACACACACGACTCTGCAGAAGTTTGCAAATGCTGTAAAATCTAAAATCCAAACTGTGATGCTGCAGTTCAGTTTCACTACAGGATATTTCAGATGTTAAACTAGCAGGAGTTGCAGTTGGGATGTTGCACAATAACGATTGCACTTTGACGGTTAAATGTTTAGATCTTAACACACGTAATTTATTTATCTTTGCTGTTTGTCCTCTTGCCATCTCTCTTTCCCTCTATTCATACCTTTCCATTTATAAAACAATGTCAACAGCCATAAAGCACAGGGAGTGTCTCACTGCACAAACCTAGATTTACATGCTGTGTCATAATTATGCAGAAATAAAAGAACTACAGTGTGGTTTTTCATTGTTTATTCAGGACCATCAAGTCCTCTGTTCTGCTTCACATCTATGTATGTTTATGTTTATGTATTTAGCAGACGCTTTTGCCCAAAGCGACTTACAAGTGAGAATCAGCATGTTGCCCTTGAGGCTAACAACAACAATAATAACAACTTGACATCAGTCATGGAGAGGAGGGAACAAAGGAGTGGACGTGGGTGGGGTGAGGAGTGGGAGGGGGGTCGGGTGCAGGGAAGTTGCTAGTTAAGAAGATGCTCTCTGAAGAGCAGGGTCTTCAGGAGTTTCTTGAAAATTGAAAAGGAAGCCGCAATTCTGGTAGTGTTAGGAAGGTCATTCCACATTTGTGGAACGATGCATGAGAAGAGTCTGGATTGTCCTGAGCGTCGTGTAGGCACTGCTAGCCGATGATCCTGTGATGACCGGAGCGGCCGGGCCGAGACGTAAGCCTTTGCAAGAGGATTCAGGTAGATGGGAGCCGTACCATCTCGGACTTTGTATGCTAGATTTAGCAATTTGAATTTGATGCATGCAGCTAGCGGTAGCCAGTGGAACTCAATGAACAGAGGGGTGACGTGTGCTCTTTTTGGCTGATTGAAGACCAGATGCGCCACTGCTTTCTGGACTATTTGAAGAGGTCTCACAGTACTGCCTGGGAGACCAGTTAGAAGGGCATTGCAGTAATCGAGGCGGGAGATGACAGTAGATTGCACCAAGAGCTGGGTGGCATGTTGTGTTAGGTATGGTCTGATCTTTTGTATGTTATACAGCGCAAAGCGGCATGAACGGGCAACAGAGGCAACATGATCTTTAAAGGTCAGGTGTTCATCAATCACAACACCCAGATTTCGAACTGCCTTTGAAGGAGCCAGAGATAGGAAGTCATTTTGGATTGAGATATTGTGCTGTATGGATGGTTTTGCTGGGATGACAAGTAGTTCAGTTTTAGAGAGGTTGAGTTGGAGATGGTGGGATTTAATCCATTCTGATATGTCAGAGAGACGGTTTGATATTCATGCAGAGACAGTGTGGTCGTCCGGTGGAAATGACAGATAGAGCTGGGTGTCATCTGCATAGCAGTGGTAGGAGAAGCCATGGGATCGAATGATCTCACCCAGTGAGGTGGTGTATATGGCAAAGAGAAGAGGTCCTAGTACAGAGCCCTGGGGGACTCCTGTGGCAAGATGGTGCACGGTAGAGGATTGTCCAAGCCAAGATAGTGTTTGCAAGATAGTGTTTGCATCATGCTGTCAAAGTAGGTGACCGCTGTAATTTTAATATTGATCTGTAGGAGAGATCAATCTTTGGTTGTGCTACATTTGTGCAAATCCATTCTGGCACTGGAACAAGGCCAGATTAACCATATGGGCAACTGGCCAATTGCCCAGGGGTCCACGAAATCTAAAGGGCCCAGACCCAGGGTAGCAAGGGCATGAGTAAAATACTGTATCTGTAATCTCCCGCTTTATATTAAACTAGGGTGACCATACGTCTTCTTTTCCCCTGACATATCCACTTTTCACTCTCTGTCCGGGGCGCCCGGGGGTTCTTGTATTGATTAAAATGTTCGGCTTTTCATCCAGGAGCAGGGATCGAATTATGGGGGAGCTGGATATCCTACACATCCAGGGGAGCCGGAAAAAAGTTTTCTACCTAAATTACATCATTTATGGACTCTTTTGAGCAGAGAGCACAGAGAGCGGCAGAGCAATGATCGTTGGTGCGCAGTGCTCCAGGCTGCTGCGTCCGGCGCACGGCCCATTCTCAAAGTGGCGCAACCAAAAAACTATAATTAGCACACGATCGTTCATGTCCACACATGTTCTCTATTTTCTGTCTTATTTGTGCCTGAAGCGCTCTGCGGAGCTCATCACCTGTGCTGCGGTGATTTCACCTCACTGACGCAGCATCGAAACACACTCTCCACTTTGCGGTCAGGAGATCCCTTTGATCTGAGGTGAAAAAGTAAGAATCCAGGCAGCAGTTTTTCTGGAGAGTTTAGAAGAGATGCAGGAAGATGAGAGACAGACAGGACAGGAAAATAGTTAAATAAAAACAAGAAAACAAAACAAAGTGTTGAAAAGTAAAATGTCGGTAGATTTATCTCCACTACACATTTTTACCTGTATAAAACAATAAGTTATACACATGTAATATTTATACATTTGATACAATTCAGATCACCTTCAAAACTCAGTCACACACCCAGTGTCGTTTCATGGCATTTTGGGGGCTAAAGCCGGGCGTACACTGTGCGACTTTTTCACTCGTAGCACTCAGCTTCAGCTCAAACTGTACGACTTCCTCGCAGGGCAGATCTCACGAGTCATGCGCTCACACTGCACGACCCAGTTCTCGGATGCGACCTGACTGCTCACACTGTACGTCTGGTAGCAACACGTCGGACCTAAAAATATACTAAAAATAGCAGTTTTTACTCAACACGTTAGACTTTTTTGTCTTGTTTTGCCTGTTGTTCTTCGGGAGTGCTGCAAGAGGACACACAGGGATTTATGGGGATTGGATGAGGAAAACGAAATAAAGAAAGTAAATCTGTGTTTTGTGATCAGTTTAATTTGACATGAACACGACAAACACGCTTTCTTGACGATCTTTGTGAGTAAAACAAACATAGAAATTAAAACGAACAGCGTGTGTTATTAGGGAAATAGCGGAGAGCGGTGTTGATGCAGGATGGCACATGCGCCGTGAGCGGTTCTGATACATTTTGGGTCGCAGCTGCTCGCAGCGCTGCTTCAACAGTGCGATACCCTCACGAGGGACGAGCAAAATATTAAACACGCCAGAAGTCCGTGCGAGCTCACGATTGCTGATCGGTAGCTGGTCACGTGGTGTTAATCGCCTCTCGTAACCCCCTGTACACTACACGACGCTCGGCGCAAAACTCGCCCCGATCTCGTGGATTCTCGCACGAGTGGAAAATCGGCTCAAAAAAGTGAAAAAGTCGCACAGTGTACGCCCGGCTTAAGGCAAAACAGAACGAGGTGGGTCAAAGGTTACCCTGAGCGGGTTACGTGATGTCAGGCATTCAAGTATTGAGTATATTTACTGCATATAACAGTAAAATACTCTGTATGTGACCATATTATGGTGGTCCTTGGGTTGTGATGATGGGGCCCTTTAATATTGTTGCCCAGGGTACAACAAAGTGTTAATCTGGCCCTGCACTGGAATCAATTGTTTGTATTTGTGGGTTGGACTCATTTTGTGCAGAGATCACAGCAACTTATTCATGTTTGTTTACAAATGCTCAAAACTAAACATGGATCTTTGGGACAGATTCCAGCACTGGTATGTGAGTGTGCATCAGATAACCACTGAGGTACAAATAAACATTTTGATAAATATTGTAGTCTCAGTAAAAACAAGTTGTACGTGTTCATTTTTTTAAGCACCGCTGTGGCCAGAGGTTTTGGGAAACGGCAAGTATTGGTTCTTAAAATGTTTTGTGCTTCAATGTTTTGATAT